AAACGTGCCATCTCGTCGTCGTCGAAAATCAAAGTAGACATTCGTCCACATCGCATGACTCTAACAATCCGAGTATTATAGAAGGAGGTCATCCGAAAGGCTAGCCTCCAAACTATAACTCGGAGAGGTCGACTAAGTCCAAACAGGTGTCGAGTCTCTGTGTCCCGGATCCGGACGACGCCGAAACGCCTACCGGACGAGGTAATCTTAATACTCACAATGACTCGAGAGAGACATTGGAGGTTACTTGCGCGGTGGAAATACAAAGTATAGCCGTAAAGCTCGTCGGAAGTTCGAGCCGTGTTGGCTCTGAAATCCGCGCGAGTATTAGGGAAAAATCCCTCGCCACTTCGAAGCAGTCCAATGAAGCTGAACCAGTCGATAGGAGTTTCATCTCGTACTCGTAAAAGTCGCGCTGCACTCTTGATGAGATCCTCCTCGGGTGTATCGCGAACCAGCAGATACCTCGGGATTGTCAAGTCTCGTCGTGCTCCAGGCATCTGCATATCAGAACGAATCCAAATTAGTCGCGTAAAAACTCCTCGAGTTCTTCAGCTTCATCTTCCAAATCATCATCATATAATGCTTCAACTCCTATAATAGCGAACCTATTGACACGTATCCGCTCTGCGTAGTATATGCCAAAGAATGGGCCTTGTCGCTCATTTAGCCAAAGCACGTAACGAACGAACGTCAACCTTATTTCTGGGATCTCATCCACCTGTGGATTGAGTTCGTATGGCTGCAATATCACCAAGTTCATATTAACGAAGTGACATTCGGGCAATAGCGGTGCGAACTCGTAGTGAATAACATCCAAGCCGGCCGGTCTCCTGAAAATAAGCCGTCTGGGGGGTCTCTGCGCACTGCCATCCCAAAACCGCGAAACGTCCTCCTTTGAGTACAGCTCTGACGGGTTATAAACAAGTCGGTCTATCCTTTCTACTCTTTCTCCATTACGCCTTTGGATTTCAACCCTTTCGGCCGCCGAATTGCGGTCGTAGAAAAGGAACAGGTCCATGGATCCCGCAGCCATCTGAAAGAAAAAGGAAGACGAATGGGATCAAGTTAAAACTAAGTATCACTTAAAATATTTGTCTTCCTTCTGGCCCGTGCTTCTTATGGCACGACCAACCTCGTCAGGAGTATCTAAATGTACTCCGTTCGGCTAGTGGAACATGAGTCGGGCTGCTTGTGGCGCCAACTCTCCTTACGGTAGTGGTACCTAGGATGACCACTTAAAACAGGATTGCTAAGGCAATTTTCCTTTTTCGCAAGGCGTCAAGAAATAATTTTCTTCTGTGTAGATGCCTTTTCCATTACCCTAAGAGGGGTGGTCTGGGATACTCCTTCTCCTCGCCCGAGTACAAAACTCGGATCTCAGAAGTCGGGCCGTCTCCACCGAATCGGCATAGTACCCCCCCGCAAAGCGGTCCACTCTGAGTCGATAACAGGGCCGGCCCCTAAGGCAACGAACCCCCGCCCCAGATGCCTCGTAGAGAAAGGGAAAACACCTACACGGCAGACAAGTAAAGTCTTGCCGCCTAGCGTCAAAGTAAACTTAGACGAAGAAAGAGGAAATCGTAGAAAGATAGAATCATTCAGACTGACAGGCATAAATGGAACAGGGTCATTTGGGAAAGAATGGGTAATCTCAGGGATAAGTCTAAATCCAATTGAACTTTTCTTCCTTCTGCTCGCTTCTTTTCTCGTCGTCTTCTTTCTCTTTTATTTATACATAGAACACAAGCACAAAGATGAAAAAGTCAACCATTCTTTCACCGTCATCACTCTCATCCATTTCAGCCCATTTGCCGTACCTGCAGTCAAAACCCAACGACACACAGACCACCATGCATTCCTTTACCATTGTCAGACTCCCAGTCATACACGCAAGAACATACATCCTCTTCCCTTTTTCAATGAACATTCAGTGAAAACAGGTCAAAGCAAGTGTGGGTTCACTCAGGTGCGAAGGGAACTGAGTCAATTTAACTGACCTTGAGTGAAGTTGGATGGTACACTCAAGAAGACCGTATAAAATTTACGCTCTCCTGACGAGAAGGTTGTCGTACCCAGTTGTCACCAAAGTGATCGACACCACTTTCTTGTGATAACCGCATCCCAGATCACCTTCTCAGCACTCATCACTTTTCAATAATCCAGGCGGCGTTTTTCTAGTTACCGCCACTTGCGTCCAAAGTATGGTGTCCCCGCGGCATCACCCTCACGTCACTTCAAAATGGAATCACTGCTTTGACGCACCTCCTCTGCGTCAACGTCCCACCTCCACTTAGTGCACAGATACTGCCGTTACTGTCGTAAAATAGCGCCATCACTGCAAGAATATGATACTGACGCCGCAAAAACAATCCAGCAGCGTTCCCGCACTACCGCCGTAAAAAAACGAAGTTGCCGCCGTAAAAATCCGGCAGCGCTTCCGCACCACCGCTGAAAAAACCCAGAACCGTCGCCGCAACAATCCAGCAGCGCTTCCGCACCACCGCTGAAAAAATCAGAACTGTTGCCGCAATAATCCGGCAGCGCTTCCGCACCGCTGAAAAAACCAGTACCGCCGCTGCAAAATTTCGACAGCACTTCCGTACTACCGCAGTAAAAACCCGGGCCGCCGCTGCAGAATTTTGACAGCACTTTCGTACTACCGCAGTAAAACCCGGGGCCGCCGCTGTAAAATTTCGTCAGCACTTCCCCACTATAGTGGAAAAATTGCAAGCCAAAATTAGTAGAATTTGAGCCCCAGGCCCAAATCCCACAACGCCGCACTGCCGCAGTCCCGCAGTACTATTGGGTCTGTCCCGTGGGACTAGCACCAGCCAGAGGTGAGGGGAGCAGAGTGCTCCCTGCCTTGGCTATGGCTGCCCAGTCCTCCTCCTTGCGCTCCTCTGCAGTCCTCCAGCCTCTCCTCTCGTTGCCTCAGGCAGCAGCTCCAGCAGCCAGCACTCGAGTGTGCTCGTCAGACACTGGCAGCACGAGTGCAATTGTGTGGCAGCTGGGGGGCAGCTGCCTTTTTTATATTGGCTGAGGAGGGTTGGACGTCATTCCAGCCCCCAGGCAAAATCGCGGGCTCACTGTGAGCCCTAGATCTGCCAAGATCCAGGGTAGATTGTGGCCGCACCACAGCCACAGCCTTAGTGTGGGGCAGTTTCTTTAACTGCCCTATTTTATTTTTCTTTTCTTTTTCCCCAGCTATCTCGGAATCTGGCGAGATAGCTGGGCTCCTGCCATTTCCAAATCTGTTTTTCTTTTATTTTTCTGATAAAGGGTTGAAAAGATACAACCGTTTTCAGTTTGATGCATCTGGACCCTTTTTCCAGGGCAGGTACATCGGGGAAAAGGCTGCATCTAGCCTTTTTCTTAGTGGCCTTTAAATTTCCAGGCTCCCAGCAAAAACGGGAGCCTGACAGTTACCTCTGGCAGCTTCTGCCAGAGGTAGCACCACGTGAGGACAAGTGTCCTCTCACTAAGTAAAGAAAAAGAAAAGAAAAAAACTAACTTTCTAATTTCTACTGCACCTGGCTTTTGCCTTGGCCAGGTGCATGCTGTTGTATGCAACAGCCCCCTTCCTTTCCTTTGCTGTCTTCCCCTGAAAACGGAGAAGCCAGTTGGCAGGTTGGGAGGAGTAGGACCTCCTCCTCCCAACTACCCCGTTTCTCTCTCTCACTCCCTCTCCTCTACTCCCTCAGTCCCATCTCCATGCGCGCGCTGTGGGCCATGAGATCTGAGATCTCGTGGCCACAGTCGTTTTTTCTCAAAACTGAAGTGGGAGCCTTCGTGCTCCCACACAGTCCAAAAGGACTGTTCTTTCTTTCACGAGGCAATTGCCTCGTTTGTTTTACTTTTTTTTTTTACTCTTTTTAGTTTTCTCGTTTCAGCCTCCTTTGTTTTCCCAGTTTGGTCGAACCTCAACGGCTCACGAACGGGGGAAACCGCAAAGAAAAGAAAAACGAACCAAAAAGAAAAAGAATATATAAAAAAAACAAACAAACCTTACCTGCAATTTTTGCTAACGCCTTGAATAGGCGCCTATATACCCCCATGGCCTGGGGGTAGATTCATTCGTTTTTGGCTCATCCTTATGGATGGGCGTGGCGTTGGCCAAAGCCACGTAGGTAGGTAGGTAGCAGGTAGGTATCTCTACCTCCTCTCTCTCTTTCTCTAGGCGTAGTGCACAGTCCCCTATAGTAGGGGAGATTCATTCGTTGTTGCCCCGACTGTAGAGGTTCAGCCTCCTGATGAGTCGGTGAGAATCCGACGAAACAGTCTKGCATAGGGCATCGCCGCACTACGCTCGAAATGTGCAAAATAAGATCGAATCTTCCGCTAGAATATGGAAAGGTACACCGCCAAGATTTTTGTTTTTTGTGCATTTCTAGAGTAGTGCAGCGAGGCCCATATCACGACCCCTTCGTCAAA